TCTAGGGAGACAGTTAGCATGAAATCTACCTTGAATTTATAGTGGTTGTAGTTTTAACTGTACTTCTTCCTATGATATGTTAACTTTAGTGGCTTTTCAGTAATGCTTTTTCTGTTTCCCTTACTCTCTTACTATACAAAAAATAAATCTGAGGAAATTGATCTGGTTTTGTCCTGAACTTGACTTGCTTCGCCATTAAGGTTGATCATGTTCATTTTTTCCTGTGTGCATCTGCATACTAATGTGCCAAGTAACAGCAGAGGAAAGAGTAATGTATCTCCTACTCATTACTGGTTTTGAGGGAGGGAGGGTGGGCAGGTGGGTGGGAGAAGGTTATGAGGAGACTAGCTGTGTATCAAAAGTAAGTAGGGTTTTCACAAAAGTTGACTCCATCTTGTAAAGACCTGAGAACATAAAGCAGTTGCTCTTCAGTTGGACATATTATACCATATTCAAGCTCTCTTAACTTCATAGTATATATAATGATAAAGACATGGTAGGACTTTGTATGAAGTATTGTGATGATACACTAACACTAGGTGTAGACTTCAGAGACTTTGATCTAACAGGGAGAATTAGCCGGACTGCAGATCAGTAAGACTTCGAGAGAAGTGCGAATCTTTTAATGTCCAAAACTGGTTGAGATATAACTCAGAGTTTTGGAATAGCTTGATTCAGAACTCTTAAATTGCTTTTCTGTTTCCTTTTATGAGGTTTCCATTAGCATGAGCATATAGAGCCTTGGACTGTTTGTCATGCCATTCCTGAATCCCTGAGGCCAAACTGGAGATTCCTCCATCCCTCACTTCCCCTCCTCCAATCTATTGAAACAACAAAGTAACAGCTACTGCCACTAGTGTTATATTGTGATATGGAGGGGGCCTTGTACCTGTATCAGGTTGACTGAACCATTAGAACTCTTCTTCAGACTGTGTGAACATCAGAAAGTTTTCATGAAGACAAGCTGAGACAGAGAGTTTGTACTTTCGTCCCAAAGCCAAGCGGGAATGAGCAGAAGGATATTTTGTGTGGTGTTTGGGGAAGCAAAGATTATTTGTTTCATTGTTCACATGGTTCTTTTTTGTTTTGAGCAATGATGTGAAGAGATGCACACCCCCTTGGATTAGAGCTTGGTGCACGTTTGGTCTTGCCCACCAGATACATATTTTACTCTCTGTCCAATCTCATACTGTTTTCCTAAATGCCATGTTGTTTTTAAAGACTTCTTCATTTGTATACCCTCATCCTCATTCATAACTTCTGACATAGTCTAGTTTTTTTATTATCTGGAAACCTTTCATGCCTTTCAATTCTCTGAACTCACAGTCTGACTCCCGCCAATTCCATTCCCATATACTTTCCCAAATTACAGACTGAAGAAAGAGAAATGCCACACTCTCTATAAATACAAATTCACTTAGCATTTTTAACATTATATTGGCATGACTCGATCTTGTTTGCATCTAATTAGGGGAAACTCGTATGACTTCCAAAGTGCTCTGTTTTGTTAGATGCTGCATTTTGACAAACGGGAATGTGTACAATTAAATTTTCGTTCATTTTGGGCTATTGTTGTGCTATGACTTCTACCATTTCCATTTTTGATAGCATGATGGCAGATGTTCAAAGCACGTTGTCTCTTAGGAGGTGAAATTTTCAAGGTTTCTGTATCTAGTAAAGTCAAACATTCTTTGAATCATATGCTAAAGTATTTGAGACATTCCAGAGTCTTCAGCTGAAGAGGCTCCCTCCTTGCAGTGTTTACATTCAATATGAGAAAAATGTATGGATAGTTTGGCAGGACTTTAGTTACCGAGTTAATTGTTGTGGTTCTTAGTATATACTTATGAAGAATACGTAGTGCAGCAGCACATAGGCAAGCAGATACAGTTATGGGTGGAAGTTAGCAGAACTGTTGTTTCAGGGGGTTGCAGTTTTGATTATTTTTTTGTTTGTCTTGAGGGGTTTTGAAGGGAGGATTGCTCAAAATATTATCAGAGCTTCTTTACATACATAATTGTGGCGAAGTATCTCGCAAGTTCTTGAATGTAGGTGTTTCAGTCTAACTTTCGAACTCTTAACTTGATTTTTCAAAACAAAACTCAAGTGTGAATTTGAGGACTGGGTATTGAATTTGTAAATCATGGGATATTACTGAGAGTGACTTAAAAGGTGCAATGATTAGGACATAACTGAAGGAGTTTGGTTTTCTTTCTTAGAAAGGGTTTCTTGGGGGGGGTGTAAATGGAAAATTCTGTGCTTCAGAGGGTCGTTGTGTATTTGTAGAAAATTCTCAGACTGTTGGATTGAAAACCTACTGGATTGCTATAATAATTATCCTAACATGCTCTAGGTAATCCTGCTTCAGCAGGGGAGTTGGACTAGATGATCTCTATGGTCCCTTCCAACTCTAAAAATTCAGTGAAATTCAGTGGAATCCTGTGATTTGTTTAGGAGAGGGAACTCTCAGCTTTCTTTATGGATCCTCAAACATGAAATGCTTGACAGTTTACTGTCATTGTAAGTCTATTGTGGACTGATCTGGTATCAACTCTTAAACCAAAGCTTTTGTTGGTTATATTTATACCTGCTTGGTCTTGATACCTGTTTGCATGAAATGTCATGTGTTGCATTTCAGCATAGTGCTGGTAATCTTGCAGAAGAGCCTAAGGAAAATCTCTCTGACTGGATAACCTGCACTTAAATAGTCAGACTTCAGAGGTTTGGAAGTGTTTTTATAAACCAATAAGAAAGTATGAATATTAAGCACAGAACCCTAGCAGTCCCCAAAAGAAGAGTAACAACATGTTTATGCTATATGCGTAAGCTAGCCTCCAATTTTTCAGGCTCTTTATAAATAGTGCTTGTTGCCTTACTCCAGTAAACACATAATGTTGAGCTTTCAAATGATTGTGTGAATTCTAAGAAGCTTCCCCCCCCCACCTTCCCTCTATTGTTTGAGGTAATTTTTATCATTCCTCCCTAATAATAAAGCTAAATTTACTGGAAATAAGCTCTGTCAGTTTGTTTTAGCTATAGGAGGTTGTAGCTTTGTGGTAAGCATTTGCATTTTTGAGTTTCCTATCTGTGGTCCAGTTGTTTTGCATAGAACAATTGTAGTGCAAAACTAACTTTACAGCACTTTTTTATTATTATTATTTTGAAAACAATTATATGATACTTTTAGTACTAACCAGCGGAAACTGTGTCCTCAAACCACATAATAAATGGAGAGGTGATTCAGTATTTCATATCAGGGGCCTCTATGATAATTTATGGCAGATTTTTTCTGAGAGTGTAGTTTAGTTTCTTTAGGGTTTCAAATTGTACTTGGATCTGTGTAACTAAAAGTATCAGTTCTTATTAACTTTTCTACTCTTTTCTACTCTTTTTCAGTAAGAAACCTGACCAAAGTCAAACAGATTCTCTTGGGGCAGAGATGTTGTTTCCAAAGGTTTTTCTACTATAGTATAGCTGTGCTCAACCAGCGCCTTGACAAATTGAAGATGAAAAAAACACCATCTAAATACTACTTATCATCTTTAGTTAATGAATATTTATTGTAGGACCTTCAGTAAGGTAGAAGTGGGAAGGGATTTGTTGTTGAAACTGGAAACCTTATCCAGCGTGTGAGTCCTTGCAAGGCAACTGACAGGAAATAGCAGAATTCTTTCATAAATTTGAGATTAGCTTTAGTGTTACTATAAAACTAAGCCTGTCAGGATAACTTCTGAGTAGAAGAAATAGTAGCTGCAGTGCAGCAACACTTTGATAGTACCTGTGATGCTGAGGCAGGAGGACTATAGAGGCAGCTCTGTTTTCTTTGCAACACCTGTGCATTCCCCCAAACCAGAGGAATTCTTGTGCAGCTGTGAGCAGCCAACTTCCAGGCTGCTGGGCCTTCAGGGTGCTACTCTTGTTTTTCAGCGTGAAAATTGTCCAAGGTCAGAACAGATTCTCTCTGTCCATAACTCTTATTTCCAAAAGCTCTTCTGCTTTCTGATTTCATATCAATCTCTGCTGCCTCTGTTGCTTTTCCAGTTTTTAAAGGAGGCACCTGGTTGACTACCACCTTGGTTAAATAATGTAGGACTGGTTGACCTTTAGGTCTGTGTGTATGTTCCATAGAGTGGCTTCTGAAGGCTAATACAACTGGATAGGATAAGGTACCCTGTCTTCTGTAATATAGCCCTATAAAGTGAGCACAAGGCAGCATTTTTTGAGGAACAGAACAGCAGTCTTTTAATGTGCCTGAAATGTTTGTCTCACAAAGTTTTCTGCTCACGATAACAGAAAAACCCATCCTGTATAGCAGGCTGTAATTGATTGTACAAAAGACTGACAGCTATGCAAATCCCTAATGTCAACAACGATTTGAGCCAGCAGTCTGTGTATGCTGAAGAAGAGAATTCCAGTAATCTGCTCCTGCCCTTATCTCTTGGGTAGAGCCCTTTAGTTTACAGCCTGTTAGAAATATGTGGCCAGTTCTCTGCTAGATTTATCACTTGAGCAAACTCTTCAGAAACAGTTTTTTCCTCACAGTGTGCCAACTACTGGGTTTAGAAACATACTCTTCCAAACCAAGCTGCAGAGTGTCCTTTATTTTTTTTGTGCAAAATATTCTTAAAATGTTTCTTTTTATTAATGATTCTAAGTTCATGTCTGAGTCTTCAGAGGATGTGAAAGAGCAAAAAAGAGGAATTTTGTGGATAAAAATGGAGAATTGCTCAGAGCCTGCTCTTGCATGTATGTCCAGATGTGTTGGTTTTTGTTGTGACTTTTCACATTTATAAGAGTTAATACACATGTGCGCTTGACATGCAGTTGGGAGCAACATGACTGGAATATAATACAGACTACATCTTGAGGCATCCGACTGCCTCAAAATAAAATGGAAGTTCAATTCTAAATGCCTTTGTTAGTCATGCTATTTAACTTACATTAAAGTGGGGTCTTTGTGGGTTGACGCACAACGATAAATCTTGCTTTTACTTTTCCAGAACCAAAAATGATAGCTGCAGGAAAATTTTCAAGTCTTCCCAGAAACGGCCCAGCGAACCACCAGTTCTCATTAGCTTCTTCCATGGACCTTTTGACCACTAAACCTTCGCCAACTGAGCGTCGCACAGACTCCTTTCAAGACATCTCTATCCATGGCACTCTCCCTAGGAAGAAGAAGGGGACAATTCCCATCAGGTCTTGTGATATGTTTAGCCACATGGGAACATTGCCATATACCAGAACACAGCGGCAGCAGCCACCTTTTGTACAGGATGTTATAGAAGAGCACCCTCCACAAAATGGGAAGAGCAACAAACTCCATGCCAGGTACCTTATAAAACCTTAATTTACATATGTTTGTGGCATACGTTTTTCTAGATCTCTAAATGTCCAGTTATAGATGCAGCTGTTTATTATAACTCCACATTCTAACAGGTTGATTTTTCTCCCTAGTACTCAATTTAGGTTCTTGATGGAAGAAACCAAACAAAACATAGCGTGAGGAGGGGGAGGAGTGAATCTGATGCACAGATTTCAGGAATTCTGATGATTTATTCTTTTTTTTTTGACTTACTGAATATCCCAGGCTTCAAAATAATTTTCCTTTTGCAATAAGATCAGCCAGTATTTGAGCTCTTAATACTCATGCCTGTTTAAACTGTCCTTCTATACCACTCTTTCAGTGGGATCTAGTGATTTATATTTTTAGTTTTTCTTTTGATATCTGTGTGGTTTTTAAAAATAATTTTTAAGGAGTAGTCTTGCCTTTGAATGTTTAAAAGGTATAGCATTGCATGTACTATTCCTATGGCAGAAACTTCAAGAAGTCGCTGAATTGCTTTGAAATGACCTTTTGCATTATTCTAAGAGAGCAGTTTTAACCAAGAAGTTGGACTGTTCAAACTTTGCTTAATTTGGAACCTGTGCTTATATGAATGTAGTGCAGAGGAAAAGAAGAGAGTGGTGTTCCAGTTGCCTCCAACCTAAAGCTACATATTAGCTGTTTCTCTTGAAGACTCAGTGTAACCCAACATACACTGAGCTAATAGCAAACGATCCTTTTTAAATTATTCTTGCCTCGCTTCCTGGTTATTATATTCATGTCTCTTGAGAAAGAAGTCTACTCTCATAGCTAGCGTTTCTTTTGGGAATCTATTATCATCATTGATACTTCACTGCTTACAAAAAAAGTAAATAATTTTGTTAATTTTTTTTTGTTTTTATTTTGAGGTCTATAAAATGGGAAAAAATTTCCACTAATGCAAGAAAACCACAGTGTAATGCAGTAGATCATGCAGTTAAAGGCACAAATATGAGAATGTGTTAGGTTGCTTGGGTGACAGAGTAAAACATTGAGAAAAGATAACCAAATGACAGATTCTGAATTAGGATGTGTAGTTTTGCTGTGTCCATCATTATAAGATTTCTTGGTTTTAAATCCTGTGAGGGAAGGGCAGTTCTAATTATGTGGGGTTGTGTGTGTAGAGTGTTTTTTGTATGCTTTTTGCTTGCGGCATACAGGATTGAGCTTTCTTCTCACTTGAAAATAGACCTTACTTCTCTATACCCCATTCACTTTGAAAGAAGAAAGGGCCTCAGTGTGTTTAGTATTCCTCTGTCACTGATCTCTGAGATGTACCTGCTTACATGAACTGGCTTTTTAACATAATTTGCTTCTTTGATTTGCATACTTTTAGAGAATGCAAGCAGGTGGGGCTGCTGCCATAAAAAGAATATGGTGGTATACATTGTAAGTTTTATTTTATGTCTTCCTTCTCAAGAGCAGTTGCTAAATGTGATTTGCAAGAGATGTTTTTCTTCAGAGACCAAAGCCTCCATATTAAATATATTTATACTTGTAACAGATAACTTTCCTTGTCCTGTGAAGAACACTTTTGCATAAGCAGTAAGAGTAAGAACAGAATGCTTAAGAGGAAAATGTCAGGAAGTTCTGCCTGATCAGAATTAAAACAGGATACTTTTGAAACAATAAGAGATTCAAAGGATGTTGTTAGTGCAGTTTGTTAATAGAATTTGTGACTTTTGAGTCATAGCAGCAAGTGCTGTTCTGTGTTTGATCTTCCAATTGCTTTGCTAAATACACGTGGAATGCTATAGTAACAACTTCTAACTTCTGCTTTCCATAATTTTTACAATGGATCTTTATACATTCTGCTCCATGACCTTACAGCCCAGTTGTATTAGAGCAGAAGACAGTACCAACTTGACAGTCAGCATATATTTCACTTCTTGAGTCTTCTTGGGATGACTCTGCACCTTTCATTAGTATACTTAAAAGAAAATTGAGAGAGCAAATTTGATTTTCCTGTGGTAAGCATTCTTCCTTATATGCTAAGGTATATATTCTGTTGCTTACACTCATAGTGAAATTATTTGGGATTAATAATATAGGGAAGTCCATGTTACCCTATCAGAGTTTTATGAAAAAAGCCCTGTAATATTTCTGTTTCAGTGTAGGAACTTGTGAGATAGTGTAACATTACATGGATATTCTCATTCAGGTGGAAATCAGTCTCTCATTGCTGTAATGCTGTTCACAAAAATTAGAAGTGCGAACACACATTTTAATGAAACTTTTTCATGATGTATTGTTCAACCAAAGTGCTGTATTTGATGTCAGTGGACCAGAACTAATAGTCATTAGGATTACAGTGTTTATGCGCACATGGATCTGATTATACCGAGCTGTAACTCAGGCATGTCATAGTTTAAGTTTGATAGTTCTAATTTAAGAAACATTACTATGATAACATTTTCAGTAATTCGAAATAGGTAATAAAATCTTTAATGTATAAATACACAATACATAATTTTGTGGAATAAAAAATAAGCCAAAGTGAGGACAATAGGAAAAAGACAATTGTGTCATTCCCTAATGGAACTCTCGTGATTTCCAGAAACTTTTCTCCTGTCTTATATTACAGCTACCTAATTGCATTGCCCTCATCTGCAGCCAAGATGAAGTGTATGTATACTAATTTGTTTGTAGGATCATATTCTGTCAGGACGTTCACACCTATATGAGCATGAATAGTATATCTTTATGGAATTTCTAGTATATTCTAGATTAACATGGAAAAATAAAATTCTGATTTACAGAAGCACTCTTCTAATGTTGCAGTAGCTAATTCATACAGTTTCAGGGGGGAAAACCAAACAAAACACACAAGAGAGATGAGGTCTCTTCAAACCTGATAGTCATTTCTGAAAACTTGGAGAAATTATTTTGTCAACTTTCAATACAATAAGGTTGCGTTCTCTTCTGTTTGGTTTGGGAATATACACCTGTGTAGTTAGTTCAAATGGCAAAAAAGTTTTATTTCTTAAGAACACTTATATCTGATTTTTAGAATCTCTTGGAAATAATTAAATGGCCAAATTTAGAAGCAGCTGAGCTCTTGAAAGTCGCTTTTACGGGCTAAAATAAGAATTCTCTCTTGAAAGTTAAGAACTGCAAAACTGCTTGTGTGTAATGTCAACATCAGATAGTAAAGAACAATTAAACCTAAATAAAGCATAATTGGAATTTCCCTTTGACACCTGGTCCATGGGTTATCTTTGTTTAATTAGCTTTGCCTTACATTATGATACCTTTATTTAAAAGAAAAATTGTTCAAATGCATGTCTGTTGCTAGAACCTGTGGTCTTTTTTTGGCCTGTGTCTTGTGGCTGCGGTGTGGAAACCCAGAATTTCTAAGCTGTTTTTAATTATTATAGTTTCACACTTGTGGGGATGAAGAAGGGGGTCAGCCCAGACATCTTTCTTGCTCTTCCTAATAAGGCAAAGAATACTGGCTGTATTTGTTATATCAAGTGCTTCATTTCACTATGCTGGTACTCATGGCCTTGTGCAGCTGTCTTGACTAGTATCTGATTCAGAAAAGTAGAATAATTCCTTTTTCCCTATTCTAGTGTTTTGGGAAGGACAAGTGGTTCTTACCCCTGGCCCCCAATACTTTCCTAGTTTTCGCAAGCATGGTAGCTCAATTATTTGCATAATTTTAGACTCTCTATAAATCTTACAAGGCACATTTAATTTCAGATAAGTGAATATTGGAAATGTCAAACTCACTTCATTTTTCTGTGACCAAACACACCAAAAGTCTGCAGTCCTTATTAGCAAGATTTGTCGTACCTGTATTTGGATAAAAATCAGAGAGATGATGAGCCATAGCCTCATGTTGTTAAAAAAAAAACCTTGAATTTACATTGGATTAACAGAAGAAATGGTGTGCACTTGGTGTGACTGACATTCCAGTTTAACAGACCTGCTGAATTTTCATGCTTTTTTCATTAATGCAGTCAAATAACCCTCAGATAAACAAGACTTAAAAGCAATATAGAACTAGCACTGTCACAGGACATTTGATTGTAGTGATGAAGGCAGTTTTCAAAGACCAATTTTGACATTCTACACCATTTTAGTTGGATGTCAACAGCACCCATGTAGTCCCATGTCTGATACTGGCTCTGATACAGGCATACTTAAATCTTTCCTCATGTAGAGATGCAAGGATTTTCTGAGGGTTGTTAAGAAGATGGAATGGAGCAAAGGTTTTTTGCAAAGAATCTTTTGCAAATATTCCAAAGCAGAAGTAGATTCCAGTACTGATCCTATGCTCTCTGTTTCATGAGGCAGTGTTTGCAAGAGGTAGCAGAACAAGTAATTGCTTCTTGGATTGTCTGCCAGCTGCCAGCTATACTATTCTGTATCGCTGTACGAGGATGCTGATGAGACACTAAGGGCTTTAAACAGGCATGTTACTCTACAAATTACATAAAAAAATTAATAGCCTTATTCATAAGAAATTGTATCTAGCTTTGATTTTACTTGTAAAAATTCCTAATAAAAAACCCAATCTAACAGTTTCATAAAAACTGACAGAGTCTGATTCCAAGAAACATGTTTTTCATATTGGCTTATGTTTTGTTTGAATTTCAATAGGTCTGCATATATACTATCTATTATTGGTAATCCAATCCACATACCAGGAAAAGAAGAAGAATGAGGAGCATATTCTGAAAATTTTTCCTCCAGTTGGGGTTTTGATTTGAAATTAATACTTTTACAAGACACACAAAAATCCATTCCATAGTCATGGGTGGTGCTGCATGTATTCTTCAGTATTAAGTATAGAATAAACATCAACAAAGACTTTTTCCACAGCTAGGATAGTCATAGCCTTTCTTTTTGCATGGATTCTCTGACTAATAAATTTTGAACCTTGTGACACAGTCTTCCTCTTAGCAAGTTGTCATGGAGGAAATCATTCCTTCTGTTGCCTCTAGCCACTTATTTTTTGAAA